TTAAGGAATGTGACAGGCTGGTGACAAGTTTCTATGATCACTTTCTGTGCTCCGATGTAGTTGGAGAATCTCTGGATGGCCCATACAGTACAGAGCAGGGCTTTCTCACAGTTTGAGTATTTGCACTCTGGGGGAAGAAGAGTCTTGCTGGCATATGTGACCACCCATAGATTAAGTTCCCTCTTACCCTGGCATCCGGGCATGCTTTGTTAAGGAAGATGTTAAATTCGGTTGGTGAGTTGGCATAGCCGAATGGGCACCTGGCGAAGGTGTACTGCCGAATGCAAAAGGTGAAAGCCAGATAGATAGAGTCTGTCTCGTGTGGTAACAGTTTGCAAGTGAAAGTCAATGTCTTTTAGGTAGGCATGCACGTCGTGGCCTCCTTACTGCTGATCTACTGGGATTTTCACGCACAACCATCTCTAGGGTTTACAGAGAATGGTCAGAAAAAGAGAAAATATCCAGTGAGAGGCAGTTCTGTGAACGAAAATGCCTTGTTGATGTCAGAGATCAGAGGAGAATGGGCAGACTGGTTAGAGGCAACAGTAACTCAAATAACCACTCGTTACAACCAAGGTATGCAGAATGCCATCTCTGAACGCACAACACGTCGAACCCTGAAGCAGATGGGCTACAGCAGCAGAAGACCACACCGGGTGCCGCTCCTGTCAGCTAAGAACAGGAAACGGAGGCTACAATTCGCACAGGCTCACCAAAATTGGACAATAGAAGATTGGAAAACGTTGCCTGGTCTGATGAGTCTCGATTTCTGATGGTAGGGTCAGAATTTGGCGTATGAATTTCGCGTAAAGAACATGAAAGCATGGATCCATCCTGCCTCGTCTCAACGGTTCAGGCTGGTGGTGGTGGTGTAATGGTGTGGGGGATATTTTCTTGGAAAATGTCAGAAACTGCTAGTAGCGGTGTTCAGCCATATATGTTCGAACCGGTGTCGTGCCGAATTTTGCACCCTGCCAGATTATTTAAGAATTACACAGACGGGGAGCACGGGGCTATAAAAATAACAACATAGCTTGTCTCATGGTGCCATCGCGTGCTAACACAAACTTTATAAGTCCCGAATATGATTATGAGCTAGACAAATTCAAGCGGTCAATTTCACACTGCTTTCATATGCAATTTTTAACTACCACATTCCTATTCACGATCATTCTGGTAGCATGTGAAGGCAGCATCAGTGAAAACAGACAGACAATGGTAGCTTTAGCAACATTATTAGCCTTACAGAGTGCCAAGAAGCTCTATCAGAAAGGCAATTTGGAAAAGAAACGCGTGATACTTGGCGGAACCTTAGCTGAATCACGAACAGTTGGCACTGCTCCATCCTTCAGGAGCAACTTTTGTGCAAAACCTGCTTTATACTGACCCACATTCACAAAGCAGTCCGGTGTAAAATGATTCGCGCAGACATAAACAAATTTCTGTAGAGCTGAGGGAGCATTTTCTTCGAAAACAAAATTAATCCACCTCGTCTTCAGCGGCTCAGATTTCGGGAGTAAATGGAGAGAGCTATGTGGATTAATGCATCCAGCTACAGAACACCTACAACGCTTGGGAGACATTCTCGTCAGTGCAGCAATGGCGGACTGTGTACAACTCGCTGTGAACTCGCTCAGTAGTGAACAGCAGTGTCTGTCAACATTCGTGGGCGGGGCCTGTGGCTAATGTGACGTCACATTAGCACC